GGGAAGGAGGGGTGCAAGGAGGGTGAGGGGTGCAGGGTAGCACCGCTGCCCTGGGAGCTGTCACAGGGCGCCTGTCCCCCCTGCACCCCACAATCCTTTGCCAGGGCCCCCCCAGTCGCTGCCCCTGCAGAAAGGGGGTTGCGGGGAGCGAAAGATGCCGCTGGCCCTCGCTGAGCACTTGGATATCACAAAATTCATCTCTGCAGTGCCTGCCTGGGACGCAGGGTTCTCTCTGGCCGATGAATTCCACAATAAATGTGCTCCTTAATTTGGGGCGTAGCTGAGCTTAGCGACTGTCTCGACTAGGAGCCAGTTCAGAGCAGCCCATCCGCCTGGCTGCACTGATACCCGCTGTTTAATTCCCCCGATAACATCCCTGTGTAAACACGGGCCGTCAGGGTCCCTCTCCGGGCTTGTAGGAGCGTGTGGGGTCCCACCAGCCCAGTTCAGCTCGAGGGCCGGGGCAGGGAAGATGTGCTGGGCTCGGCCGCAATGCCCAGCAGCACCCGCAATTTGTCCCTTTGCAGCGGGAGAGCTGGGCTCTGCGGGTCGCTGCCGGGGTGATTGCACAGGCACCAAAACTGAGCGCAGGCCTGGGGTCATTAACCACGGACATGTGTTGACTTAATCATTACCAGCACATTTACACTTGCAAAACCGTTTCCAAAGCAATTCCCTTCTCCTTCCTCCACCCAGACCTGGGCTGGGTTGGTGGCTCCTCCGCCTGCGCTGGCCCCGCCAGCCCCAGCTCCGCTCCCGGGTTAAAAGGAAAAAGCACCGTGCAAATAATCAGATTTAAAAGCGCCTTGGTGGCAACTGGTCTGTACATGGAGGTCCTTCCACGTGGCTCACACGATGGTCCCCATGGGACCATTTTGGGACCACTCTGACTTAAACAACTCAAAACTCATTTAAAGGAGATGATAAGGTTTCAACAGTTGGTTTTGTTCCTAATTAGACAATCCCGCCAATGCCTCCTGCTCTGCATGGAGCACGACGGCTGGAGGCAACTCCGGCGCCTCCTCTCAGCATCGTCCAAGCGAAGCTGATGCTCAGTGCACTCGTTAACAGAGAGCAAAATATTTGTGCAAAACACAAAGTTCCCGTAGCAAACTTTTTGCTTTCTGAGGGAGCTGAGTTTCTGCTGCTGGAAAACTGTTACAGCAGAGAATTCCCCATCAGCTGCAAACGTGTCGGAGCTCGGGCACTGATTTGGGCTGTAAAGTGCTCAGTTTCGAAGTCGGGACGTTGAACTCTGAAATTCCCGAGTGTGAAAGGGGAGCAGCGCTAATCAGGCAGCCAGATGCAAAGTCACAGGGAGGGAGACGGAGCGTGCCGGGCGCGCGGGACAGCAGCGACTTGTTCAAGGACTTACTGAACAGAGCAACCGTCGCTGCACGGCTGCGGACCCCGCTGGCGCAGGGCCGAGCAGGGAAGCGGGTCCCAAACATTTGATTTTAAGTAATATTTCCATGCTCTGCTCCAGAGCCCCGGCAAAGCAAGAAGCTGCTTTTGGCTTTGCTGCAGGCGATAGGAGGCGTTGGTAGGGCTTGGGAGCCCTGGGTTGGTGTCGCTCTGCCCGGGATCTCAAGCAGATCACTTAGTCTGGCTGTGCCTCAGTTTCCCCATCTGTGACCTGAAGGTTACACCCATCTTTGGGAGGAAAAGGGCAGGTTTTCAGGACACAGGGTGCTGGTCTGCAGGCTGCCCCCAGGCAGGAGGTGCCATCACGACACAGCCACTCTCCCCCACGACATGGGACGCTGGTAGCCACCATCTCCTCGTGGCCAAGCTGTCCTGGCCCCACTGGGCGCTGGTTTCATTAGGGGACCCGCTCACGTCCCAGGGACCTTTCCCACGTTGGGCCTGTCACACTGAATTACCGCTCCGCTTCTCAGCGCTGCGCTCAATAGTCCAAGCCAGCTCCAAACAAAGTCCTTCTCCTCCCCGCTAATCCCCCCCTCCCCGACTCAGGTAATTAATAAAACAAAGCGGCTGCTCTTCCCGGCCAGCAGCGAGGAGCGGGAGCGGGTCCAGGGTCTGTTAACAGTCCCCGGCCGCAGGCTCCCCATGCAGGCGGGCACACCCGCGGGGCGAAAACCAGGAGGATGCCTGTGCTGCTGCCCCTTCGGCCGGTCCTTTGAAGCCAGGGCACGTTTCCAACCTGCTCCGGGGCACTTTTGAAGGTGGCCAGCGGGACCAGCGATGGCCCTGTGCACCCCCAGTTATTTCAAGGGACCGTTTGCATCTTGCCAGCATCCAGTCCTGCCAGCATCCCTCTGAGCACTCATGCTTCCAGCCCCCCGAGTCGCCTGGCACCCGTCTGCCACACTATGCTGCATCCCCTAACGACCACAGCCCGCTCTCCCAATTAACGGAGGCATCCTCTGGTAACAGCAGCCTCCAAAGCCCAGCTTGGGCTGAGGTTTGCCAGCTCAGTCGGGCTCCGAAGACACCCAAGCAGAGCTGTGGGTGCCGGGGCTGCCAGTGGAAAGCGCAGGGGTGGGTGCTGGGTGGGAAACAAAGACCCTGCTGGAAAGGATTTGGTATTTTCATGTGTTTTAAGGACAATTCAAGTACCAAGCCCCCTCCAGACAAAAGGCTTGCAATCTGAGCTGAGCACAGAAATCCAGTCCCAAGGGTGAAGAGAGAACTTGGCCTTGCTAAATTTCAACGCACCAGCACTTGTCATTCTTTCTTTAAGGGGGAGATGGGCTCAACAGGCCTCAGTTTTGTTCCTTGCTTGCTGAACACCTGCAAAAAGCCTCCAGCCACTTGTCCCTCCTTCCTGAGCCCCTGCCCCCATCAGTTTCTGAAGCAGAGCTCGAACCAGGCAGGAAAAGTTTGAAATTTCAAGTGATCTCAAAATCTTCTGTTCCAGAGCGGGAACGACAGCAGCCCTGAGTTGTGCAACTCAGCAGCCCGGGGGAATTCAGCAGAGGTCCTTGGGCTTGTGACCTGGCTCTGAACCTCTTCTCTATGCAAAACCAGCGTTTCAGTTTCTCAGCAGGGGCCAGAGCATCAGCGTTTTTCCTGTGCTGAGGCCAGGGCCAGGAGACCACACCGACCTGTGTTTTTCCTCACCGTTTTTGCAGGGCAGACTGGTTCCTTCTGGACAGCCGGACAGTTCGCCACGCTGCCATCGGCTTGTTCTGCTGCGGGGTCTCAGTCTACCTAACAGGCAAGTGCTTGTTCCTCACCAGCCCAGCCCAGCCCAGCCGGGACCGTGCATTTTCAGCCCAGACCATGCATCCTGCCCTGGTTGCTGAGGGCTCATGAGCTGCTGAGTTTCTACTTCAGCATCGGGTTTGTTTTGCAAATGGCTTTGCCAGCTCATTCCCATAGCACGAACTTTCTGTTTGTGGTGACCAGCCCTCACAGGGCCTGAAGCTTGCAGGTCAGCTGCATCGCTTCAATCCTTCTGGTTCCTCAAGATGTTCTGCTTCCCCCTTTTCTTCCAGCTCTCGCCATCTACATGCTGCTGCTGTTTGAACTGGAGGCTGGCATCGCCAGCGCCTGTATTCTCTCCTCCGGCATCATCGTCCTGCTGATCACGGTGACGCACGCCCTGGTACGGGCTTCCCAGGTTTCGCGCCGCAGCCGCTCCGAGGTCTCCCACACCCTCTACGAGAATGACTCTGCCCAGCACGGCGAATCCTCCACCAGCGATCTGAACAACAAGAACGTGGCTGCACCCCGGCCCCAGCCCGAGATCCACCGGGAGTTTTCCTTCCCTCCTTTCCTGGAGCGCAAATCCCAGCTGGGCTCTCCAGCCAGCAGCAACCTCACCTCCTCGGGCAGCCCCGAGCTTCGCTCCGAGAAGGAGAGCTACAACCTGCCCCGAACGCACAGGACGCTGTCGGCAGAGTCGGGCCTGCTGCAGGCACAGGGCAAGCCCTGGAACGGCGTCACCCAGGAGATGAGGAACGTGCTGTCACACAAACCCGGAGCCTCGGGCAAGGACTCGACTCTGGTGTGAGTGGAAGTGGGACCTTTTCGCCCCATTTCGTCCCTGGGGAGCTGCAGGCACCAGGGCCAAAATTTGCATCTGTTTAGAGCTTAATATAGGTCACATCTCACCAGAGCCTGGGGGTCTGCGCAGCCACTGCCTGATGCTCGTTGCTTCTTGTGTGGAGAAGATGCCAGCTCCACCCGAAGCCAAAAGCCCCCGGCCCCGAGCCCCCAGCACCTCCTGCCACGCTGCGAACAAGGACTGCCTTGGCAGGGCTGGCGCACGTGGGGGTTACATGGAAGAGAAGCAGTGAGTGAGCCTTGTCCACAAACAGACCTGCCCTCCTTCTCCAGCACACCCCAGCTGATTCATCCACCTCCCTGCCCTTCCCCTGCCTCCTTCCTTCCTCCTCCATCCCCAGGAGCCAGCACTACACCAAGATGGTTCACACAACTGATCCCAGCAGGGCTTCCCCTCAGCGTGCAGCCAGGCAGGTGTGAGAAACCAAGGGAAGCAAAGGAGGAGCAGCAAGCGAGACGCAGCCAGAGCAGCCTGCGAGCTGCAGAGGGGTGGCAGGGCCTGCTGCTCGGTCACCAGCACATCCACTCTCCGAGCAGGACAAGCAGGGTCTTGGCAGGGAAAGGGGCTGTGCCGGGGCAGCCCCGTGCCCTGGCTTGGCTCGGTGGCAGAGAGACCTCTCTGGGGATTATCTGGGTGCCAGCAGAAGGGTGCCGATGTCAAGGCTGAGGGCCGAGAAGGGATTTTGCATTGGCACTGCCAGTCACGTGCTGCGTGCGGGGCAGAAAGCGCAGTACTAAAGGCAGCAGCTGCTCCTGTGAAACACAAGCAGGTTTAGCTCACAACGTCCCTGCGCTGACCAATACCTTCCTGGTTACTCGCAGCCCCACACTCTGCCAGCTCCGCCCAGGCCCAGGGCAGCAGCACGCTTGGTTCCTCCCCAATTCCTTATCGTTCAGCAATCAGAAAAGCGTTTCAGGGAGTGAAGGGAGGCCACCGATTCAAACAGATTCCCTCTCACCTCCGGTGCTATTCTCCCAAAAGATACCTGTTATCCTGAGCACAATACCATTTCTTCGGAAACTGAGTTTAGCACTGCTTTGATCCCCGCATCCTTGGTAAATTCTTCAGCAGAACAGAACTGTTGGCTCCAGGAAAGATTAAGATTGAAGTTGCATCCTTTTTGAAATGACCTCCAAAGCTGGGCGCACAGCTCTGCTTCCCACTGCTTGACAGGGGATGAAGAAAGTCCTTTTGTTGTTGGGTTTGGGTTTTTTTTTTTTTTTTGAAGAACAGGACAGTTTCTTTTTTCACTTGAAAGGCTCCAACTCTGCATGTCTTTGTTTTGCTCCATGCCCTTTGAAACACGCGGAGCCAGCAGGCTCCAAGACCCCCCAGCCCGAGGCGAGCAACAGGGGAAGGTTTTCGACACAACTTTCTTGGTTTTTTCCTTTTTATTATTGTTCTCACTAAAACCAATTTCAGCAGCTCCCTGGCACACACATGAAAACCCCTCCTTGCTGAATGCCTCCTGAACGAAGCTGAAGTGTGCCTACATTACGTCTTTACACAGCCATCTGCAAAATACTGAAAGCAAGACCTAGTTTTTCCGAGATATTTCTGTGGCCAAGAGGTAGAGAGAAAAACGCCTCATAGCAGTCTGCCATTGGAAAGAACTGGAAGGGACAAGTGCAGCTCCACCCCGTTTCCCTTTTGCAAAGTGCTGTGGAAAGGGACACAACTGCTCCCCAAAGCAACCCGCGAAGGCAGCCCTGAGCCCAGCGGCAGGACCTGCCTGCTCAGGTGCAGCACCTTGTTACTGGGAAGGGCAGGCAGGGGCCTCTGTGCAGCTTCGCAGGTGGTTTCTACTCCTCCCCGTGGTTGGAGAACATAGGGCTGGGCTGGAGAAGGCAGCAGAGGACAGCCAGTCTTGTCTGAAATCAGGAACTGGCCGGAGGATTCTTGGCTTGTGGGGCAACGGTGCTGTAAAAAGAAAGAGACAGTCACGTCCGGCAGGCAGGCAGGACACCAGCAGCCATAAGAACGTGAAGAACCAGCGGCTCCCTCAAATAAAACCTCCCTGCTTGCCAGCAGCAGAGCAGCTTAGACAAGCGCACCTTTCAGCGTGCTGTGCAGACTACGGAGCAGCGTACGCCAGCCCCCATGGGTGTCGAGACAGAAATCTTTGCAGCCACGCCACCGCAAAAACCACTAAAAATGCTCTGGGCTGCACAGAGCGTGACCCTGCCACGCGGGCCAGTGGGAAAATACAGAACCTAAGCCAGAAGCATCTAAGGCAGCATCACTCTGCAGAGACAGAGGCTCTCTGTTCGCTGTGGTGGTTTTATCAAGGATGGGCATTTGGGAATTTTCTCACTCCTATCCAGTCAGACTCCAATCCCAACACCCTTCTCGGGAGAGACAGTAGCTGTAGTTCAACTGCAAACATACAAAAATGCATCGTCGTTCTGCTACCACTCATCTCTATGGGACTCTGCCCCCAAAAGAGCCACATGCGTGGCAGAGAACAGCACCAAACGCAGCCTCTCACCCACTCCATCTCAGTAGCATCATCTCACTCCAAATGCCTTTGACACAACAAGGATTTAATGTATTACACAACCATACATCCCTTTTTAGGTAAGGAAATAAATGATTTTCCAGTTACCCTTTCGTAAACAAGATTATTTGCTGCCCAGTGAACAAAGCCAGAAGATCACCGCAAGGCAAGCAGCACGCTCTTTCAAATAACTTTCAAATAACAGCCTAGAACCGTATTACTGAGATAACTGCTTGGCATAGTCGCACTGCGCTGCGTTACGTCCCCAAAGCCTCTGCCAGGCTAAACAGGCAGTGTCACATCCCCTCGCTACCTGCGGCCCTGAGCAGCGTTCAGCTGGTCCTTCATGGCTATGGCGTGTTTGAGCAGACTGTCAATGCTCTTGAAGTACACGCTGCTGTCAGTCATGTTCTTTATGGCACTGGAAGGAGAAAAGAGAGGGGCAGAGGGAGATGGAGGACTGGTTAGTGTTTCCAAAGGCGTCATGGTTTTAGAGCACACAGCCCCTGATGGAGAGGGCTGAAAATAAGAAGCCTCAGCTTTATGTGGCGCACGGCATCTTCGCACGCTAGCAAAGCTGGTGGGTGGATTTATTGCAGATCAGCAGGTCTGCACCGCACACAGAACTGGGGGAGAGCTGGCATGCTCATCAAAGTGAAGCCCCTGAGATTCTTGGTAACGGTTCGGAGAGCACTGCCTCGCACCCTCACCCCCCCAGTCCGGCTATGCTCACTCCCTGGCTTACACCAGGGAGCCGTCAGGGAAGCACAGGCGGCTTCTGCTTCATTTCTACAGCCCCTCTGCCTGCAAACACAACCCTCCTGCTTGGAGGAGTCTCCTGTACCTGCAGGCGTACTCCACTGTGTAGATGGCTCCTTGGCTTTGCTCCTCCCAGCTCTGCATGTCGGACTGAAAGAGAAGAGAAGGCGGCATCATTAGGTGCACACCAGAGAGGCGCAGCCCGCAGCGACACGCTCTGCCAGCCCTGCCCAAACAGGGCCTCTGGCTGCTTTTCACTGGAAATTGCACTTGGATTCTGTCTCCTGCTTGACAGCCTGTGATGCACTCTGGGCTCCGAGTGCCACGCACTAGCATTTAGAAGAAACATTTATTGTGTGTATTTCTGGAAGGGCTACGAGTTGAGGCCAACACTTTGGATACTCTGGCAAAATTCCCCTTGTTTTTAGATGTTTTAGCCATGCTCAGTCAGGCTGCGAGCAAGCAGCGACTGCGCCGAGTGCAATGGACCAGCTGGATGTTTTGGAGTACTCAGATCTCCCGGTGTGCCTGGCCCAGCAGGCAGCCAGGATCTGAACTAACACAGCTCCTGCGGAGCCCAGTCCTTAGCCCTTCATGTAACACCAGGTACAAGTTTCTTTCGCAGCACTGGAAGTTCTCATTTCATTAGACCTGCTGTTCATAAACATCTGCACAGCCACAAGTGTCCCTGTCCTCCAGTCTGCTCTGAAACTCTGGCGTCTGATCCCGAGCAGCAGTCAGCACTGTGCCCTTCTTTTCACAAGCTTGGAAGGAGCCCTGCAAAAGCCGCACAGACCCAAGCAGCACTGCAGGCAGCCCGTTCTGGCATGGGATGTAATCGTACGCTGCAGCTCCAAGGAAAGGGAAAACCAAACAAATACACAAATCGCAATGAAAGCGCAGCTGAATTCAGAGGCGTAGCTCAATAGATAAAACTATTTCAAAAGTCCTTAAGTAGTTTGAGCACTCTTTAAAATACGTTCTCATGGGAGCTAATTCCCCAGTCTATTCTGCTGGGTCTAGTTACAAGCCAGAGGAAATCCAAGGGCCTCTTTCTGCGAGTGAAGGAGGTGGGGTAGGAGCTTGGACTTTGTCCAAAATCACTTCAGCTGTTCAAAGCCTGCCCTACATCAGGACGCTTGACCACATAGCTTTAAGTGACAAAAGAAACAAGCCTCGACATGCAACGCTCTCTGCGGGAGAGGGTCCTGCGACCCAGGACTCGCAACCCCACAGAGACCACGCTCGTCCCAGAGCCCAATTGCATTTGACACAGCTCTGCTGCTGGGAACACGCTTTGCATGCAGAGGCGGCTACAAAAGATGCAGAAATTCTCCTGCAGCTCCTCACCCTGCTCTCTCCAAGAGGCGCCAGATGATCTGCAACAGCCTGTTAGACCCCGACACCGCACTGGCTCAGTCGTGTGTGTCACAGCCGCTTGCCTCTGGTCCTGCTGTTTCTGGGCACCAGTAGATTGTAATCCATTTCCCAGTATCAGAATTAGTGATGTCACCACTTCCTGGGATTTTCATGTCCTTAATTAGGAACGAGAGCCTTTCCCTAGAGCTCCTCACTTCTTAATCTTTTCTTGATGTCCTTTCTTCAAATTCCCAGGACATGCCCTCAGATGCAGTTTAAGAACTAAAGCCAGCTATTAATACACAATAGCACTAATGATATATTACTGTCGCTTGGAAGTAAATTAACGAGGAGACGTAAGTTCTCAAAAGACCAGGCGAAATCCAGAAAGGCCGCTCTGTGCGGAGCGGGGCTTAGCAGCGCAGCTACGACGCGCGGAGGCAGCGAGGGCCTTGCATCACGGCTGTATCTTATCAGGGAGGTGGTAAATCTGCTTGGAGAGTTTGAGATGATGAGGAAGGTATTAAGATTATTGTTTTACCAAGTCATAGAAAGTTGCTTGTTGTAAAGGCACGGAGGTGACCTTCTCTTTGCAGAAACTTTTCTCCCAGTCCCCTCCTTCCCAGTTTTTCCTAGGTTTAATCCCCTGGGGAATTTCAAAGGCTGCGTCTCAGGAGAACTCAGCCAGCCAGAGATGGAGTTGCTGCACGGCTGAAGGAAAGATGGAAACTACCAATAAATCCTGTTTCCTTTATACATTACCTACATCTTCGGACTAAATTACCTGAGGATGAATCCATACAGAATGCTGCTTTTTCTTCTTTTCTGTTTTGAAGAATTAAAACCACCTCACTTTAATGCCTTCGCTCTGATTTAGATAAAACCTGACAGCGTTTTCACGGTGCACAGCCCTGCTGACACCTTCCTGTTCCAGTCTCTAGCCACAAAGCCGATGTGCTCTGGCAGAGCAACCCAAAATATCCATCCCCACCTAATTGAACGCTCCGCTGTGACGACAGCCCTGTCAGGGCCCTGAGCACATCCCTCTCTCCTGGGGTTTGGCTGCCAGGGCTCAAGGTCTTGATGGGCCCAGCCTGCAAACAGCAATGCCTCAAATTTCGATAAAAGGAGAGTGGGATCAAGGACAACGGAGAGAATCTGGCCACAAGCCCATAACCAGCAGCCTGGCAGCACAGTCAGGACACTGGCCTAACTGAGTTACATTTAACCCTCCCAGTTCCTGCCAAGGACTGGTTACCAGCAGGAGCATGCTCCCAAACATGACACTGCAGCCTTAGAAAAAAAACGAACTCAGGCACTGACAAGGCTGGAGAAGTCACTAGCAGCAGCTCTGGATCTGTTGTCATTCCAGCTGCCACAGATAACTTTCTTTCCATTTTCTCCCAGCTCTTGCCACATCAGCGCACCATTAAAGGCACAGCCTTTAACAGTAACCAGGAAAGCAGTTAGGAAGCTGGAAGCGCCCATGCAGTGGGCAAAAAGAAATGGATGTAACCAGCAGCACCTCTGAGCAAGCATCAGGGAATGTTTTCTAACTGTGGCGAGGCAAACAGGTCCTGGGGTGGCACCAGGGCAGACGACACCGCGCGGTCGGCTCAGCTTTGTCCTGTGGGCACCGTTACTGCAGGGAGAGCACGGTGAGCTCCTCCTCGCATACAAAGGCCACCGCTGTCCCAGCTGGGGCTAGCGGCCAGGGCAGGAGGGAGGCTGCAAGGCTGAACATGAAGGCATCAAAGACCAAAGGTGTCTGATGCTTTTGATGGCTACAGTCACACAGGGGAGACGCAGGATCCTTGTATTTGCTGCTGGCATCCACAGGACAGCACGAGCTCCTTTCTCACAGGAAGGAAGTGGAAAATGGCAGCAATTTTGGCTACAGAAGAGAATTCTCTGGGATGGCTGCAGGTAGGAAATGAACTGAGATGAGCCAGAGAGGTCACAGGACACCGCGGATAACTGTGATGAGCACGCCAAGCAGGGAAAACGAGAGAATCAAAGGTTCTCAGAGATCTTGCTCAGCATAAACCCCGCTGCCTTACAACACGCTCCGTGTCCGGTGCCTTCACTCGGCTGTCGCTTCCATTAGCGCTTCTGCACTGCCCTTCGCCCTCATCCCCGTTACGCACTGTTCAGTGATGGAAACTGATCTCTTCCCTCTGCATGACTTGTCATACAATTTGCTCAATTTCCTTTTGTTCAGGACACATTCCCTGAAATTGGGACTATCTTGATTAAATGAAAGCAAGTGACAGCTCAGGAATAATATTACAAACCTGTCTCCCGCATGCCAGTGATGCAATGGCATCAGCATGTGCTATACATACATATACATCTCTATACACCTACCACTGCACACAGACACGTATATAAAACGTTAATAAATAATTGAATAATAAAGTGTCACAATCCAGGTTAATTTGGAAACCAGGGCTGTAAAGCAAAGGTGAAAAATGGGGCCTGACAGTGCATTAGCATAGACATGAAGCAGTAATCTATTCATGAGACATCACTCCTAATGAATCATGACCGGCAGAAGAGGGAGAAGGACAACAAGGCTGGCATTAAAGTGTCTGTGCTTCGTGCTCTGGAGGAAAGCAGGAACACAGCTGTGAGATGCGATTCATTATCCTGCTTTGCCTCATGTGGGCTTTTCTCACTTGTTCCTTCACGTTCCCCCTTCCCTCCTCTCACCCTCCCCCTTATTTTATGTAGGAAATAAAATCCTCACAACGTAGGCAGGCCTAACAAGATTTAACATCACCTTTCTCCCTGTACAAGACAGACTACGCATTTTTCTTTGTCTCCATGTGCAAGTCCAGCTGTGAGAGCATGGGTTTGCGGCTGGACTCACTCTTAAGTCTGCAGGTAAATTTGCAACATCCCCTCATCCCCTCTGGTTCAGACCAAGCCAGGGTCCCGCAGCATGCTGCACCCTGATGGCCAATTTCCTCCCTCTTTCCTGCTCCCCACCAGGACGGTGAAAAAGCTCTGGAGTCCAAAGCGAAGCGTGACTCGCCTTGTGCTGCGCCAGCTCCGGAAGGGATCTCCGCACGTGCTCCTGGAGCCGGTACAGTGCCACGGAGGGCTCGTTGGCCAGGACGTACATGCTCTCAGTGAATTTGTCCGTAACTGCAACAAGAAAAACAACAGAATTATGGAAAGCAGAGAGCAACAGGGGAGAAGGTGGGGTTGGAGAGGGTGCCCCGGAGCGCTGGTCCGGTCCCCAACACAGTCTCTGACACCTGCATAGATGTGTGGGCTGGAGAGGTTCAGAGAGCGCCCGCTGCACCCTCCACCTTCAGCACCTGCAGAGGCCTTTACAACAAAAAGCCCAAAGTTTCCAAAGCAACAATGCACCAGGGGAGAGATCAGAGCAAAACCCCATGTGTTTGAGATAACTAGGCTGTTAACAAGGATGTGAGAGCAAAATCCCGCTAAACAGGCGTTTCCTTTTCCACTCTCCTCATCACAGCATCTGCAGCCAGTGATGAGCTGGGCTCCAGACGGAGACAGACCAGCCTGGGACGTCACCGCTCCCCTACGAGCTCTGGCTGTTCTGTTTTCAGGGACCGCTTGGGCTATGCCCATCACTGGGCCTTTTCTGACCCAATTTGGAGGTGGGCAGGAGGTGAGCAGAGCCCAGCAGTGGCCTGGCTCCCGTTCCTGCACCCCGCAGCCACCCCATCCGCCTGGGAATGCTGGCATCTCCCAGCCTGGAGGCTCCCTGTCTCATTACCAGCTCTTCAGGTTCATCTCTGCTCAGGGCCTCGTGCTCCCCTGCATCTCAGCCACCCCCCACTGCGGGGTCCTGTTGCTCTCCTCCAGACGCCTCTCCCAGGTGAGATCCTAAAAACATCCATGGAGGAGGTGCAGTGACCGCAGCCCAGGGCTCAGGAAGCTTCGGTGCCGTTCCAAGCTGCTTCCCCCTGCCTCCACCCCTCTTATCCTCGCCCAACCTCTGTCCGGGGCGCCCTCCACCCAGGAACACCTTTCCGGCTGGTGGTTTGCCCA